CCATTCTCTCCCTTCAGGGGGTGGGGCAAATCGCTCTCCCCACCAACTGTGTTGGTGTGGAGAGTCCCCTCTAAATGATCAGAGAGATGAAGGAGTGCTGGTGCCTCCCCAAACTACAAGGGCCATGATTCCAGAACACTGAGTTGTGATGGTTCAATCAAACAGTGTCAGGTTGAAGTAGTTTGGTACTTCAACTGCCATAGCTCCATGCTATGGAATCCAGGGATTTGTAAAAAGACTACTTGATTGATTACATATCATTGAGCTATGGCTGTTCAAGTGGTGCCAAACTGCATTCATTCTACAGTGTAGATGTACCCCGAGGCCCCTTCTGCACTGCACTTCTCTGTTATTAGCAAGCCCAAAGTCTGAAAAATCTTCTGAAGAGACAGCATGACTAGGAAACCTTTGTGTAGTACTTGTAGACCAAAAGTAACAACAAAACTTAAAATTGTTGCTAAGTTTAATAAAATATTTGCATTCTAAAAAAAGTTAATTTGTGTTAATTCTATGTAATGTAACTATATGAACATAATGTTCTAAGTAAACTTCTGGTTTGTAAGGTAACTCTTTTATTCACCTCTGCCTTTTACCTTTTATTTTTGGTAATTGGGTTTTTTTTGGGGGGGGGCAAAATACTGTTTACTTACACTTGAAAATTAACTGGGGCCGGCCCTGCTCCCATCCAAGCATTAACAAGGGTCGGACCTGCTTAGCTCCCAATGTGTGTGTGCCTTCAAGTCACTTGTCTACTTATGGAGACCCCATGGATTTTGTAGGGTTTTCTCAGGCAAGAAATCCTCTGAGTTTTGTCAATTCCTTCCTCTGAAAAATAGTCTGCAAAACCTGTTCATTGGTGGTCTGTCAAAGTACTAACCTAGGATCATCCTGCTTAGCTTCCAGCATCAGATGGGATCCGGTGCCTGAAAAAAGTCCCAGAACAACCTTTATCTTATGCTTGGCACTTAAAAGGCAATATTAGCAATAACTAAGAATGTGTGCTTTTCAACACCCCAAATCTGTTGCCTAATTTGAAGTATCTATCTAATGGTACTGCCAGTTCTGCTCAGTGTCTCATATCTTCTTCTTATCCTTGCAGTGCATAAAAGAACACATCCTTCTTATCAGATGAAGCTGGTAAACTGATTAAACCATGATATTGAGCTTTCAGAGGAAGTAGATCGTGTCTCGCAGATTGGTAAATTCTTATAATTTGTTCAGAGGGAGTTCTCAAATGCATGATGGAGTATAAAATTTGAACTTTAGATCTTTTGTGTGCATTACATTGTAAGGAATAGCTGTGATTTGTAAGCCAACAGCATCTGAAGACCACCCAATTCATAACTATGTGTCCCTTACCCACTATCAAATTATACTATTATTATTCTTTTGCTTCCTTTCCTGGGGTGATTTACCTTTTCCACTACAGAGCCCAAGTACCTTGAAATCCACTCCTGAGTGCCCTTCCACACAGCCCTATAACCCAAAATATCAAGGCAGAAAATCCCACAATATCTGCTTTGAATTGGGTTATCTGAATTCACACTCATATAACGTGGCACTTTTGCCTTGATATTCTGGGATGTAGGGCTGTGTGGAAGGGCCCTGAGTGGTGCAAAACCTTCTAGAGTCAGTCTTGAGTGGCTTCTAGAGCTACATGGTGGAAGGGAAGGGAGATAAGCATAAGCATCTTTTTAGAAATTTATAAATATTTTCTATGGAAGAAAAACATGTTGATGAAAATTTCCACTTTTAAATTGCAGCTTGTCCTGGGAAGACGATGGAAGGGGCTTATAACTGAACATATGTGAAGACGACATAGACTGAAACTAGACTGATTATTTCAATCCACAAGATTTTACATTTGCTACATTGCACCAAACTAAACTTGAGCAGAGTCAGAAACATCACCTGTATTATTAATAATTTGACTCCAGAGGTGAAACTAAATACTTTTTAAGTGTCTTTACTTTTAATAAGAGCCTTTTTTTTTCCTCCAGAAAAAGAAGCACAATAGAAATTAAGCATGATGGTAACTGCTGGGAATGTGTATAATGTAACGACACATGGCCTTGCAACCCACACTGATTGTCCCTATGTTGAATCGAATCAGGATAATAGAAGCACAGGAATGATACTGACAAGCTTTCTCACTTTTCTTCTCTCCCTTCTGGGATTTTTGGGAAATGGAATTGTGGTCTGGCTCCTTGGTTTTCGCATTAAGAGGAATCATTTCACCACCTATATCTGGAACCTTTCCATTGCTGATCTGGGTGTAGTCACAGGTCTTCTGGGAATTAATATATATTGGCTTGGAACTTGGTTGTCTGGTGCCAAGTATGATGATCCAATGAAGACAGTGTTTCGTACCTTCTTCCTAGTTACTTACAGCGCAAGTCAATTTCTACTGACAGTAATCAGCATTGATAGGTGTGTGTCTGTCTGTTTTCCATTTTGGTATCGATTCCATCAGCCACGACATTTGTCCCCCACTATTTGTGGTGTAATCTGGATTTTGACCTTGCCACTGTTTCCTGCTCACACCAGTCTCTATCTGACAATGAAATATTGTGAGCTATGGTTCTATCAATTTTTGCTGAATATTGTGCTTACTACTCCAGGCATATCTATATCTACTGTTTCCATGTTAATTAAAGTATGTGTGATATCTCCACAGCACAAACGGGGAAAGCTTTTAACTGCCGTTTTGCTTGCTCTCATTTTTTTCCTCCTCTTTGCTTTTCCAATGAATGTCATTCAATATGCCGCCCGGTATACTAGATCTGAAAATATTTCCATTTATGAATATGGCTATATATGTGCATCTTTCAACAGTACCATTAACCCATTCATCTATTTCCTAGTAGGGAGAGAAAGAAGGGGTCAATTTTGGCAGAGAATACAGCAAATATTAGAGAAGGTCTTCAAGGAGGATGAAGACAGTAGAGAAACTGGAACTTCAAGTTCAAATACAATGGAGATGGTACCATAAAAGATTCTGAACTCCAGTTTCAACATTCCACCAGTTACAATTTACACTTTTTGTTCAAAAGAATTTTTTTAAAGCCATGTTTGAATGTTCAAGCCTGTAGAGGTACAACAAATTACATAGTTTAATAAATGGAGAAACAATTAATTGTTCTTCTTGAAGAAAGGTCATACTATCACAACAAACTTTGAAATACCTGCACTAAATCCCTCTTCTGGTTTGAATTAAAGTAGACCTTTCGAATTAGCGTCCTTTACAGCTTTATTAATTCATCAGTCAATTATTGATCTAGTAGGTCCTCTTTGTTATGGACTACATATTGGATTTAGGCTAGCATTTAATCTTGCAACAGTCATGTGTTGAAACCTGAGCTTCTGCAACTCAAAAACTCTTAATAACAAAGAGTTGGTATGACACAACATAGGCACTATATTTTATTGAGGGATTAAAAGGCACCTATGAAAAGCAAATGCATCGTTTGCTATTTTGAGTTCCATTAGGAAATAAGGAATTTTGTCACTCGAAAGGTCAATTGGAAACATGGATATTAAATCTGCAATTTTTTCTTATGTAATATCACAACTTGTAATCAGTTGTTTGGTATGATCCTAGTTCCATAGTGGGCTATGAGATGAGTACACAAAAATGTATTCATTTTTTTCTGACTTTCTTCAAAAAAATCCATGTTTTAGCCAGTTGTGGCAAGGGAAAGCAGTTAAAAGCACCAATCCTACTATTAATCCCAATGAAAGTAAATCCATTGCATCAGTTAATAGGCCTGGGTAACAACGGAAAAAATTGTTTCTAAAATCGATTTGTATTTGGGGTTTTTTTTTGTTTCGATATTTAAAATAATTACAAAATTTTCCCTTAAAAAAGTTCGGTATTTACGAAATTTCGTTAATATTTACAAAACGTTTTGTAAAGATGGCGCCCTTTTTTTTTCAATATTTTTTCAATATTTTTTAATTTAATTATTAATTTTTAATCTGGGATAAACTGAACACCTGGGATCAGATCCTGGGATATAAGTTCTGCCTGGAAGGGCCCTGTGATAATCCAATCAACTCTGGGGTTTTTTTTTTGTTTTTGTACATCCCCCTGCCATTGGTATTCTGGATCATGTAGTTGTGCAGATTGCCCTAAACCTCCCTCTCCACTGCCATATACTCACGGGGAGTGGGTGGCTGGGAGTGGAGTGAGGAGGTCGGCGGGAGAGGTCGCCCCCGGCTGCTCTTGCCCCGCCCCCATGGATGCCCCTTCCTGCCACCGCTGCCCAGTCACTCCAAGCTTGAGATGGAGCCGGGGGCAGGGACAGCTCAGCTGGCCACCACCCCACCAGTCTCCCTGATAACCGGGCCTGCCGCTCCTCCTCCTCTTCCTCCCCCCCTCGCCCTCGGCATCTCCGAGCGGCGCGGCCTGAGGAGGAGGAGGAAGAGAAAGGGTCGGAGGATTGGGGGGGGAGGAACGGAAGGCCCCATGACCAGGGAGACTGGCGGGGTGGTGGCCAGCTGAGCTGTCCCCGCCCCTGGCTCCCTGTCAAGCCTGGAGTGACGGGGGGCGCCGGCAGTGGAAGGGGCCATCCACAGGGGCGGGGCAAGAGCAGCCAGGGCAAGAGCAGCAGGCTGCGCCGCTCGGTGGGGGCGGGGAGGAAGAGGGACCCTGCTGCTGCTGCTGGAGGCGGAGAAGGAGGAGGATGGGAGGAGGAGGAGCAGCAGGCTTACCACCAGCAGCAGGGTCCCTCTGGCCTCTGATAGCTTCCCGCGTCCCTCGCTCTCGGCGCCCCTGGCAAAATAAAGTGTTCTGCAACGGCTTACTTGCTAGTTGCTTCGCGTAATGGTTGAGCCGCCCCTGAGCCCGCCCAATCAGGAGAACCCACAGGGCAATCAGCTCTGTGGGTTCTTCTGATTGGCTCCCGGAGCTCCCAGCAAGCATCTAGCCATCTTACGTATTTCCGAAATGGACAGAAATACAAAAATATTTGGCGCATGCCGTTTCGATATTTAAAAACACTTCCGGGTTTAAAAATAAGTTTTGTAATCGTTTTGTAATTGCTAAAATTAACAAATATTTAACGAATTACAAAATTAACGAACGAAACCGCCCAGGCCTATCAGTTAAATTTAAACAAGTGTTATCTCGTTGCAAAATAGATGGTTGAATGAGTTTTCTTTAGGTAACCATCTCTAGGCAGTCTGCTATCCTTACAGTACCTGATCCTTATATACCTGAAGTGTATATGTGTCTTCAGGTCACACCCAGTGATTAATTTAATTGAGTTTTTCTCAATCAAAGTATACTCAGAGGTGGTTTTGCCTTTGAAATATAGCCTACATTATTCAAAATCAATTTTTATTTAGGTTCCAGGGGCCTTGAAATAGGAGAAACTTCAAAAAAGAAGTATCAGTCTTATTAATGATTAGAAAACTGTTATTAATTTTTTCATAAAATTACATCTTTTAAAATGTGTTTAACATATACAAATTTAATTTTTGCCTATGATCCATAACACATCTGGCTTCCTTTTATCAGGATAGACCTTGATGATGTTGGAAAAGTTGACCCATTATAAAAGCAAAGACTTGTATTTACAATTAACGTTGGCCTTTTTCAGACTTAATCATCAATCTTTTTGCTTATCCGGGGCCTATGCAATGTGTACCCATTGAAACAGGAAGTAACTAGATGACTATGAGTGTGTGCCATTAGACTTCTGAGGATTTTTTATATATAAAAACTAACTCTACCTATATAATTACGCTGTCAATCAGAGCAAAGGGCAAGTATTCAGAGAGCCTCCTCACATCAAGAACTGGCCATTGTTGAGGGAAGTGAATATGAATATAGGTTTGTCCCAGCTTTTTAACATCTCACTTTACAATGCCTTGCTGTTTCAATAGACTTGAATTATAGCTGTGCACTGCATTTCCAACCCTTGGGGCCCTACTACACAGTCAAGGCAGAATAATCCACAATATATGCTTTGAACTGGACTATCTGAGTCAACAGTGCCATATACCCCCATATATATTCCAGTTAAAAGGAGATACTGTGGGATTTTATTCAGCTGTGTGAAAGGGTTCTTGGTTTGCTCTTTTTGACCATGCACTGCCCCCCCCCCCCCCCCCCCCCCCCCCCCCCGCAGGCAATTTGGTTCAACCTAATATTCAGCCTGCTAAAAAAGACTGGGTTCCATTTTTATCCACCACCCTCATTTTTTTTTTACTGTGCATTGATATTTAACTTGCTAAATAATCAGAGGATGACTTTATGAATTGATGAATAGTATCCTTGAAGTGACTGTCTTGACTCTGAAGGAGCTGGGAGTGGTGATGGCCGACAGGGAGCTTTGGCGTGGGATAGTCCATGAGGTCATGAAGAGTTGGAAGTGACTGAATTAATAAACAGCAACAAAGGGTTCAATTTAGTGTGTTTAATTTGATCCTTTTGTCATACCATTTATGTATATGAGTTCTCAATAAATGTTGATGATGCTCAATTAAAAACAATTGTTTCATTCTTTTCAAAGATCTTACCATGTATTGAATCAAAATTATAAAAATATAGAATGGGACGACATGAGGACAGAACATAAAAAGCCAAATTTTCTATGCTTTTAAAAGAGGGTTTGTCACAGCATGTGAAGAAAGATGAAAGTGAGGTGAGAAGGGCATCTCTTTTGTTTCTAATTTTATTTTATGTTCCTCAAAAACTTGGTGGTATGGATAGAAGGTCAGGCCAGTGTCATTATGCTTTAGCTGTTCAAACATTCAATATGGTGGGATCACCTCAGAACCGATGTAATCAACACCATAGCTACCGTATACTGTCAAAGCCTAGAAATTGTAGTTAAAAAATTGACCCAGAAACCTGAGTTGATTTATCCACGGGTCAATATTAAATACTTTTATATAAAAGGAACCATTCCATTCTTTTTGTAGAGAAACAAGATCATAGTCCATCAAAAAGTGTTGACAGAATCATAGAATCATAGAGTTGGAAGAGATCTCATGGCCCATCCAGTCCAATCCCCTGCCAAGAAGCAGGAAAATTGCATTCAAATCACCCCTGACAGATGGCCATCCAGCCTCTATTTAAAAGCTTCAAAAGAAGGAGCCTCCACCACACTCCGGGGCAGAGAGTTCCACTGCTGAACGACTCTCACAGTCAGGAAGTTCTTCCTAATGTTCAGGTGGAATTTCCTTTCTTGTAGTTTGAAGCCATTGTTCCACGTCCTAGTCTCCAGGGAAGCAGAAAACAAGCTTGCTCCCTCCTCCCTGTGGCTTCTTCTTATCTATATATTAGGCTTGGGCGGTTTCGTTCATTAATTTCGTAATTCGTTATTAATTCGTATTTAAATTAGCTTACGATCCAATATTGAGCCATGCAGGAGTACTGTGAGGAGTAATTAAAAATTGAAACAATTTTTCCAATTTATTTCATATTGTTTCATAATTGTTTCATAATTGGTTCAAAATTGTTTCGAAATTGTTTCGTAATTGTTTCGTAATTATTTCTGTATGTCTGGTTTTATAGTTGTTATTTGTTTTATAAGTGATAAAAAATAAATTATCACACCAACAGTCAACAAAAGAGGGAGAGGGAAGCTTCAGAAGTTCCCCCTGTCCCATTTGGAGGGATTTTTAGCATATGGCGCAATCGCGTCCGCCATTAACGAATCAATTCGTAATTTTACAAATTTTTGTATATTTCGAACTTTTTTAAAGGAAAATTTCGGAATTCTTTAACAAAACAAAACGCAAGCCCCCCCCTAAAAACGAAACGAGTTTAGAACCAAATTTTTCCGTGATTACCCAAGCCTACTATATATATATATAAATGCTCTGTGCATAATGAGTTCCTTAAAAACAAAAGAATCAATGAACAAAATCACACCAAATTTGGCAGCAAAACATCTCACAACACAAGGAGTGACCATCACTCAAAAAGTTATGATTTTATTATTTGGGAGTTGTAGTTGCTGGGATTTATAGTTCACCTACCATCAAAAAACATTCTGAACTCCATCAATGATGGAATTGAACCAAACCTGGCACACAGAACTCCCATGACCAAAAGAATATACTGAAAGAGTTTGGTGGGCACTGACCTTGAGTTTTGGAGTTGTAGTTCACCTACATCTAGAGAGCACTGTGGACTCAAACAATGATGGATCTGGACCAAACTTGGCACAAGCACTCAATACGCCCAAATATGAACACATATGGCATTTGAGGGAATAGACCTTGATATTTGGAAGTTGTAGGCACTGGGATTCACAGTTCACCTACAATCAAAGAGCATTCTGAACCCCACAAACGACAGAATCGGGGCAAACTTCTCACATAGAACCCCCATGACTAACAGAAAATACTTAAGGCCATCCAATCCAACTCCCTTCATCAGGGCAAGAAAACGTAATCAAAGTCCTCCTGACAAAGAGCCACCCAGCTATCAATATAGATAGATAGATAGATAGATAGTAGGCCTGTTTGATCAAGAAAAAATTTGTTTCTAAAATCGTTTTGTAATTGGGGTG